AAATTTCAGCTTCAAAGCTTGCGTGGTTGACGAGTTGAAATACCCGGACAGACGAACACACACACATACACACAGCACACGCACACACACACACACAGCACACACACTGACAGGGTCTTTGTAATATGCGTTTTTGCTGCCTGTTGCAGCGCTCTAGCGCTGCATGACAAAAATGCATAAAAATTTAGTTGAAAGAAAGGCAGCTATTACGTCAACTAGTTTTTAGCACCTATACATCCGAAATTCCATCTGCAAAAACTGGATGTCAGATTACAATGTTTTCAGGTCGCGCTACAACAGACTGCAGCAATTGCAGCCCCCATGCAACATGCTTACAAGGTGTTTGCACCTGCAAAATTGGCTTCAAAGGTGATGGGTACAACTGCACAGGTGAACTTTGTCAGCTGCCTGATCATTAAACCTTTCATGTCTTATGCAACATGATAATTTGATTCCTAGAATGTGAAAGTCAAGAAGCATAATTTGTCATCCAATTTTGTCGTGTTGCATTCTGGGAAACCCAAGTTTGGCATTTCTTCTTGTTTTCTCCGAGCTATTACAATAGATTTATCATCGAATTTTCAAGGAGCAGGATACGAAAAAAGCACATAAGTGAATTTTTAATGCTTAAATCTATCACAAATTACGAAAAATCAGTGGATAAAACCTCTGCCCATTAAGTTTGTTTTTTTTTAGAAGTCAAATAATAGTGCAACAAATGAACTCAAAGAGGTTCAGAGATGGTGTAGCTTACCATGTGGTGCAAAATTAAGCTCAAAAGAGGAGCTTCTGCATGGAAATCCTGGTCACGACACTAACTAAAAAGTAAAGCGAGCATTCAGAAGCAAAAAATTGATCTAAAAAAGCTGAATTCAGCACTGAAACATTGAAAAAGCTGCGCTCGACTGAATTCGGCGTTGTTTTTAACCCAAAAAATGAATGCTACATGAGCTTTATGGGATGACGCTATCTTGGATAGATGGATGGGTAAGTGTCAGTATTTTGGCACATTTAGTTCTAGCGGAAGGTAGCTTCCACTAAAAAGGCTGTAAGGAATAGTAACTTATAATTAATTAGTAATTCATAATGAAGCATCCAACTCTGCATTGGCCACACACACATGCCTTACACTTCCGAAGCATCTCAGATTAAAAAAATTTTTTCGAACTTAAGTCTCGCTTTTGCAATTATCTGCCTGCTTAGATGTTGACGAGTGCTTATTGCGGCCAAACGTGTGCCATCGTCATGCAAAATGTCGTAACGTGAATGGGTCGTACATCTGCCAGTGCAAGGCCGGTTATGCAGGCAACGGTTATAACTGCACAACTAACTCAAGTAAGTGATGTACATTTCCACTACTTTGTAAATACAGAACTGTATGCATCAGTTAGCTGATGCGATTGCGCATTTCTGCTGTAAACCGAGTCTGAATGCAGTGAAAGACACTGCACTGTGCTAATGTCTTTTCAGGCGGTGAGACCGGATCTCTAACATTCTTTACGTATGTTTATAAGGATGACATGAAAATTAAATGTGGCAAATTTCGTTTCCTGAGCTGATTGTGTCAAAATGCGTGAAATTAGGAGATATCTGTGTGGTTTAGCAGTAGCTTTAGAAGGTTTTCATGTGGTTTGTCGAAAGTTATCCACCGGAAATCGTCGGAACAAAGCGATGTTCACCGACGACATGGATAAACCAAAAAAAAACTGAAATCGGAAGGTTACCAGTCGTAGTGCACTTAAACCAACAGCTCGCTACAGTTCGAGATGCGATTATGAATGATTGATCTATTTAGGACTAGAAATAGGTAATCCAAGGTGAAGGAGTTTGTGGTGTTTTTCGAATTGAAAAATCAGCACAAATTTGGAGCCGGAAGCACAGATCAGCGTAAAGAGACGCAAATTCATTCCGGGCTTTACTTTATATGCAGTCAGGGAAACTCTTACATACTGTTCAATTCTGAGTTAGAAAACTTGCCGAAATTTTGAAACTACGGTCAAAAGTCAAGGAAAAAAGAAAGTTCCATAAGTGATCACCTACCCTGTCACCAAAATTTTTTTTTGCAGTTTTTTTAGTTTTGAATTTGTAGGCTTGAGATTCTTTATGATTTTTTTCTTTTTTTTCAAAAATTCAGCTCCCTAAGCTCTGCTCTTTCGTAGTTTTAACATGTGATGGAACGGACAAGTAGACAAAACATGCACACAAGAACAAGATCACGCTTTAGTTTCTTTTCAAGCGACATCGGTGACGTTTGAAAAGAAAGTAAGACGATATCAAAAAATGTTTATTCTCATATCCCAACAGCACCTAAATAACTCCACCTACCATATGTTAAAATAAAAGAAATACGTAATTTTATATATTGTTCTAAGATGTGAGTATATTAATTTAGAAGCTTGTATGGATTCATTTGATCGACAATACAACGAGCAGTGCGGGACGGAAAACTGGCGTGAGCACTACTATTTCGATCACGATAGCAGCCGCTGTACATTGTTTTGGTATGATGGATGCCCCGGCACTTCCATGAACATTTTTTCAAATTTGGAGACCTGTGAAGCTTTGTGCGAAATAACCAATGTACTCAGCAGAGCAGGCCAGTTTTGTTTCGGTTCTAATTCTGTATCAGCACAATCCGATAATAAAAAAAAGCTTTAGTCACCCTCCAGATTTGCACGGATTTTTCAGTCTCCGTCCAGTTTGCCAAATAATAAGTACGCCGTTAATAATAACCATCCCTATCGCCTGATCAAATTTAAAGCTTCAGCCCTAACACTTTCGTTTTACTTTACTCCAGCGCTTTTTATCCATTTTTGTATTTGATTTAGTAAGCATGCGTGTCGGCCATTTCGGCTGCTTAAAGCATTTCATCTCAAAGCCAGAAAGTTAAAATCGTGAGAATTTAAGTCCCCATCACATACATGGCTCAATCTTGAAATCAACCTATATTTCTCTTTGTTTTACGACCCATGATTTTTAATGCGTATTTGAGTTAACGCTCTAGCTTGAAAGTAGCTAGAAGTTTATTTAACGAATTCATTGAATTATTTAAAAAGAACAGATTAAAGTGGAAACTTCTGGGAGGCATTAGGTTTTTCTGACCCACCAATTCAAGAACAAGCTCAAGTTCGTTTTGTAACTCTAGAACGAAAATTGCACATACTGCAAATTCCGCCTTTCCGTAAAATAACCCAGGGCAAACAGCCGACGCATAATATATCTTGATTTGAAATTGTGGCCATAGACCTATAGTCACAACTTCACCTATAGTCACAACTTGACCTATAGTCACAACTTCAAATTCGGACCAGTTTTGTAATTTAAGATGGAGCAGGGCAGAAAGTCGAAACCGCAAAATCTTAGTTGGTCATTTAAAGTGAGGAGACTGACCTTGAATCGATTTTCAGAATTCACTGTCTGTTGAGTTTAAATTACGATTGCCTGCTTGAATTCGAAACAATATTATGGATCCATAACGAAGCCAACTATGAATTCAGAATTTTGATGCTTTTCGTTTGCTAAATAAGTTGCAAAAACATCATCACGAACTCCTACACCTACTGCCACACGCATCCATCTCCCTGCAGCAGCCTATCACAGATTTTGTAACCATTTCGTTTCCCATCTCATCGCACTTGCAAATTTTGCTAGCTGGTAGACACGATTATTTATCATTGCAACATGAGGCAAGATTATTTATCAGTATAGAATGAGGCAAAACCTGGCCAAACATTTGCTTGCTTATAGGATAAATGCATTTTAGCCTAAACCGCCTTTAACATAGACATGCTAAAAGTGCAGGTCGCTGAAGGCGTGGTGTTAGCATGGCCAAGTCAATTCGAGTGCGTTTCTGTGTGTGTGTGTTTTTTTTGGAAGGGTGGGCCTGGGAGTCCGAAGAAGTGTCATTTAAAATTTCCTCCCCCTGGCCTATCGATTTGTGGAGAACGAACAAGTTGGTATAATGAAGGATGTTATGCTTATGCAGTTTTGTCCGGCAAGCCACAGCTCATGCACCTCATTTATCTGTTCATCATTGGTTTTGTTGAGCCAGCCTTAGCTCGGACACATGATTTAGAGATTTGCTGGGATTTGTTCGACGCCAGTTTTCGCAATCAGTGCAGGAGCGGTAAGTATTGCTGCCCTTTCTGTTAATGGCACTCAGTTCAAAATCCAATAGTATTAGCCAACGTTTTGCAAATAGGCAGCTCGACAATGTTTTTGATAAAATGCCTCACTAAACTCTTCATTCACTTAGTGACTAAGTCGCAAAAAAATAGCTGAGCTGGAAAATGAGGCATAGGGCTCACTGCTGTGATTCTACTTTTCTTGCACATCTCGACACACAAAAAAATCTCGAAACTGAAGGCAACTGGGAGCAGCGCTTCTATTTTGATCAAGCTTCGATGCAGTGCAAAATGTTTTGGTACGATGGATGTACGTCAACATCGCGCAATATATTCAACGATCTGCACACATGTCAATGGATGTGTGAGCAAGAACTCATTTACAGATCAGGTGAATCATACTCCATTTGAATTTTTCTAGCGAATCTCTAAAAACTAGCTCGCTATCAGGTCAACTGCAACCGCATCAGCTCGACAGTTATTGAGTTCCGACATTCTTCTACTTCTGTGACTATTTTGCAAAGAACAGTAATAATCCACTGTTGGTCATGCCGAGAGTTTTCTATTCAGGCGCTTCAGCCACTGCTGAAGGCGGTATAAACTTTTTACGGCTGACTCGGCATTCCAGTATTGTTATGCGTTTTTGCTGTGCAGCGCTATAGCGTTGCTACGGCGAGCAAAAACGCATATTGTCGGGAGATCGTCTGTGTGTGTTTGTGTTCCGAAGCGAGTGAACTTTGTCACCTACTTTCATCTCAGCAACCAAGAAATCTAGAAAGCCTGTTGGGATACTCTACTTTCAAATGCGGTCTTAAATCTGCTTGGAAGTGAAATTCACTGAAGGTGGTTACGAGAAATACTCAACTTTACTGCAAAATGAGAAATGAGTGCATTTTGCAGGGAACGACTGCCTCTATCCGCTTCCAACATCCAGTCCATTCACATATTTGGGTTTTTTGTCAAACCACCGCTCTGGCAACATTTCCACTTTTCAGTGAAGAACTGAAGTTTTTGCATTTTCAACCCAGGCTGGAACGCACCAGGCGAGCCCGTGCGATCATGCGTTTTTGTACCGGACTTGAATTACTCAGGTCATTAACTGTAGGAATGGCT